CTGGGTTGGAGTGTATTTAGAAGCACAAACATCCGAATACTGTTTGGTTTCCTCCCCCCACATCCCAGATAGAAAGAAGTCAGGGCTTCTGTGGCACTGAGGCTGCAGCTAGGGGGCTGGGGCCCTGCCTGGGCAATTTCAATGCGCAGAAACGACTGGCAGCCAGTGCAGTGCGAAGTCAGCCTGGGCAGGAGCCCTGGAGGAAAGCTGACTGGGAGAAAGGTCCTGGGGCTGGAAGCAGGGCCTTCTGCTGCTGCATGCCCATCTTCAGCTTCACCTCATGGTAGCCCCTCCTCCACACCCACACACCTCAGTTCTAGGACTCTCTGGCACCAGACCTGGACAATCAGTGGGTTCTCTGGGGAGCTTTGTCTCCTTCAAGCCTCACAAAGCTGCCGACATTCTCCCATTCCTGATGGGGAACCCGTATGGGGCTCATTGAGGGGAGGTAACTTCCTCAGCACACACAGTGTTGTAGCTGAGTCTAGATGTCCCCTCAAAGCCTTGTGCAGTCTTTCTCAAAAGTAGCTAAATCTGGAATGTGTGATGCCAGGATTAAGGGCGTGTGATTACTGAACTACTACACATTCAGAGTTTGGCACTGCCCTGATCCCTGGTAGCCTGAATAAGACAAAAGGAGCCGAAAGACACTGTTAAGGTCCCTTGCTGCCTTTTTGACCTTGTCTGCCCCATGTTCTTTCCTCTGTGATGACTGTTTGCCATCCCTGCCCTGGAGTCAGCTGATTATGGACTGAAACCTCTATGAACTGTAAGCCAAACAAACCCCTTCCCTTTTAACTTTGGGTGTCAGGTATTTTGTCTCAGCAACAAGAGAAAAGTGACACACACAGCAAGAGAATGCGAAGTCAGGTCGGTCAGACTCCAAAGTCTGTGTTCTTTGCAACCTTGAGCCTCCTTGGAAAAGGAAATTGAGGCAGGATTACGGATGAGATGACCTCTTATACCTCAACTGCTCAGGTCTAGGAATTTGCATTCTAGTTTTGGCAAAGAAAATATAAATCAAATTGGTGAGTTTACATGCCTCAGGCTGTGGATAGGTTTGGATTTTCAAGGTCAGGAAACCTGATTGGCCTTTTGGGCTTTCCTCCTAAAGTCGCTAGGGAACCCAGCCCGGGGCGGGCACCCAGGCAGAGTGTTCCTTGGTTCCATGAAGCAACACCCAGCAACACCATGGTGCAGCGACCTTTCCCCAGTTCCCGTGTTTGCCACAGCTCACCCCACCCACAGCAGTGGCCTTGGGGAGCAGCCCGGCTTTGATGCCTGCTGACCTGGGGTCAAAGTTTGGTCACATTGCCTGGCTCGGGGAGAAACCCCTTCTCCTAGGCCCACCTGCAGAATGGGACCAAGCCTGGCCCGTCCCCTCCACTTGAGACTACATAGGAAGGGCTCTGCAGAGCACAGTGTCTATTGGGGTCAGCCTCCCCCCAGGCAGAGACAAAGAGATCAATGTTCAGAAAAGCTCCTGCCACTGTTCTTGCCCCATCACTCTGATAAGGCACAATTCCCCACGGCCACAGACAAGTGCCACACCTAGATGCATACTCGGGTCCCTCTGATTTCTACCCTGTACCCCTTCCAAAGGACCGCAGGGCGGGGACACTACACTAAGGCCTTGGGTGGGTAGGAAGTGCCCTCAGGTTTCTCAGGCCCTGTTCCCAGCTCCTCCTTGGGGTCACTCTCTGAAGGTCCCTCCCTGTCCTCAAGGCCTCCCCACCCTGTTTTACCTCTGGACTGCTGAGCCAATAGGTGCCTCCTTTACCCCATCCCCAACTGGGGACCATGAACCTGTCAGAGCCATATGTGCCTTTGTGTCCCCAACCCTTTAATGTAGGAAGCAGCGAGTCCTCGTAGAGAATGAGGGAAGAAGGCGGCATGTCCCCTAGGCCTTTCTCGATGGCCCTGGACATTGAACAGTTCCTTATTGCCTCAAAACTGCAGTCACTGCTGCATTTAAATAAGCGCACACACGCCCAGGTGGGTAGGGTGACAGGACTCTGATCATTTTACGACAGGGGAACCCAAGGCCGAGCAACTGGACTAAGATCACAGCACAAAGTGGGTGCCGTGCTGAAGTGAGAATCGATGCTCTCCGAAGCTCTCTGGAAACTGGAGGAGGTAGGGGTAGGGCCACAGAGGAGTCAGACTTCAGAATTCAGGGCTCTCAGAAGACATTACCAGGAGTAGGCTATTTCACCTCTCTGTGCCTCAGTTTCCTCATCTGTATAATGGGCATGATATAGCTGGGCCCGGCATCACTTATTTCTCAATTGGCTTCCAAGCAGGCTGGGAAACAGCTAGAGAACTAACTCCACAGTTTTTTCCCCCAAGGGCAGCCTAAGTCCCAAGAAGAGAAGGTGCCTGAACCAACGCCAGGAGGGGGCAGTGAGTGTCCTGTGCCAGCAGTCTCTGGAAGGTGCCAGATGAACTTGAATCTTTCACTCCAGACGTTCAGAGAGCAGGCCAAGCAAGGAAAGCAGGGGGCTGGAAAAAGCTGGGCAGGGAGGGCAGAGCCCTGCACTCTGCTGGCTCTGCCACTAATGGGTTGTGTGGCCTTAACTGCCCTTGCCTCTTTGTGCCTCAGTCTCTCCTTTGTTTCCGAGCCTGCAGCTCTAAGACTGCAAAACAGCTTTCCCAGCATTCTATTCTCTCCATCAGAGGCACACAAAGGAAGAGACATTTTGCAACAAGTTAGGCAAAATGTTGCACTGGAGTTAGATCCTGCAGAGGGGCTCTGACTGAGGAGAGAGCCACCCAGGAAGTGCTGGCCACCAGTCCTGTGCCCTGTGCCCAAGAAGGGAAGAACCTAAGCTTCACTCTGGGCAGGAGTTTCTAGAACTCAGTGCTTCCTCTTCTGAGACTGCCCCTGCCCCTCAAGTAATGTAAACACCTCCAGCCTCCCCTTCCATAAGAGGAGACTCAAGAGCCATTTCTCTGGAAGGTCTGGCAGAAGGGACTCCCTCTGAGCTCCAGGAGGTGAGGTAGGACAGAATGGGGTACACCTAAGTTAGAGCACTGGTTTGAAACAAGTAAGTCCTGGGTGCAAATCCTGCGTCTGCCATCAAACAAGTGGCTTCTACACCTTGTTGGAAGGGATGATACAGTGCCAAGCATTTGGCATGAGCTAGCAGCTGCTATTAACAACTCAGACAACTGTAAACAGGCTGCAGCTGCTCAGAAAGGTTATCAACCAGGCTGCCCTTGGCAAACACCAGTCTGGGACCCAGGGGAGCTGGGAAGGCAGGGGCTGGGGAATGGCACTGCTGCCACCTGCAAAGGTTTCTTAGAGACTCGAGAAGCAGGAGTGCCCTTGGGAGGCATCTGTCAGTGATGCAAATGCTGGCTCAGGGGCATGACATGACGCCCTTTGATACACCCTAGTGCATGGGGGGACCTGGAGCCTGGGTGTGTGCATTGGTGGAAACTCTGCTAATGCTGGGTCACATGTTAGCACATGGCCAGGGCCACACATACATAGGTCCTCATGCATCAGAGCTGACACAGCCTTTAGGCTAAGGTCCACCCTCTCATTTTACAGATGGAAAGGCTCAGACCTATGTAGGAAGCCTGAGGGCAAAACCCAGAGAAGGTGCCAGCCATCCTTACCCCGTCCTCCCCATGGACCACCTACCTACTGCATCTGGCTCTGGCTCTGTGCCCAGGTACCGCCCTTGGGCCCGTGAATCCACCAGCTGGAACCTTTTAGATTTAAGATTCTCCAAGACCTGCTCATAGGTCTTGAGCAAGGACCGGTCCAGTGTAGCTTTGAAAACAGCAGGCTCTGGGTGTGAAGGTTCAGATGTCACCGGGTGTCCCTCCTTCAGCCAGTTCCGGAAGCCACCATTCAGCACTGACACCGTGCGGTGGCCAAACACACGGAACATCCACCAGACTCGGGGAGCATAGAAGCTGCCCAGCTGGTCACCATCATACACCACCACGTGCGTGTCGTTGCCGATGCCCAGGCGGCCCACGTAGTCCCCGAAGTGCGCCTCGCTGGGCAGCATCATCTCGTAGGGCGACGCCGTGTCCCGGCACTGCTCTATGTCAAAGAAGGAGGCGCCGGGCACGTGGCGCTCTTGGTACTCCTTGCGGGCCTCCCGGGTGCCCGGTGAGTACCAGGACGCGTCCAGCACGCGCAGGCCGGGCCCCAGCTTGCCACTCCGGATGGACTCCGCCAGCCACTTGGTGGACACCAGAGCCCGGTAGAGCACCTGCTGAACCATGGTGGCAGCTCTGCGTGTCACCTGGCGTGCGTGGGAACCGGGAAAGAGACAGGCCTGAGAGGACTGTGTGCAGCGGGTAGGGATGGGAGAAGGCCCTGTTTTCCCCAGGGCACTCGCCCAGCATGCGGTGTCCACAGCACCCCAACAGATCTGGGGCCCGCAGCTGGGGAGCGTGCAGACTCCCTCGGAAAGCCGGCCCCGCCCCTCCGGCCCGGTCCCGCCCTCCGCGCAGAAGAGGGTGGGGCAAAAGTTTTTGAGCTCTGGGTCCGGAGAGCAGGCAGGGGAGGTGTCAGGCACCCAGAAGCTACAATACCCGCTCTGCGAGTCCTGCTGGAAAGGAGGGTGATCAAATGCCCAGGATAGGGGAAGACAGGCAAAAGGGTGGACTGCGCTGGAGGCCCCGCGCGCCCTGGCCTGCGCCTCGCCACCCCTTCTGCTCCCTCTCTCGGCAGCCGGGGCTCCCTGCGTGCGGTCCCCGCCTCTCTGCCCACTGCCCTAGTTGGGCCTGGGGTTCCCGGGCACCCCTTCCCGCTCTCGCCACGGGGACCCTCCCCGGGGCCGCAGGTGGCCCTGCCGGCCGGCGGCCCCATCCCGGGCAGCTCGCCGCACTCACTCGCCCCGCCGCTGCACTGGCGCTCGCCCGGCCCGCTGGAGAAGCTGGAGCGCCCGGAGCCGGACCCGAAGCTGCCCCGGTGGCCTGCACCATTGCCCGCCACCCGCGGGGGGGGGACCGCGCGCCGTCCGCCGCGACTCCTACCCGCCGGCCTCACCGCAGTGCGGGGGCCGGGCCGCCACTCTGCTAGTGCAGGCCCCTCAGAGTGCCGGGAGGTGGGGGAACGCCGGGAAGCGCGGGGGCGAAACGGGGCTGGGCAGCGCGGCGCGGGCGCCCCCCGGGCCAGACCAGTGGTAGGCGCGGGCAGTCACGGCTCCGAGTGGCCCAGGCGGTGGGCTGTGCCGGAGTCTCCTCCCTTTGGCCCGCAGCAGGTTAGTGGCGGAAGGAGGGACCGCTGTAGGCGCGGGGAGGGGGCACATGGCAGAGCTGGGGAGCCAGGAGCCCGAGACCGGGGTAACTATGTCAGCTGCTTGGTGCCGGGCCTGCACGGAGGGAGGGCACTCTTTGGAGTGCGCAGCGCAGTGCCCGAGTGGAGGAGGGGTCACCGGCTAGGAGAGGGGCGTCCTGGACACCCTAACTTCGCCTAAGGGGGACTCTGCGGCTGCTTGCGAACACCTGAATTTGGGGGAGTGAGTGCGTGGCTCGTGGGGAGTAGTGGGCGCGTGGGGTGAGGTGACCTGGCGTCACCAGAGAGGGTAGGAAGGCGGGAGGAGGACCTGTAAAGCCATTCGGAGAGGCTAGGCAGATAGATCCGCTGACCCTGAGGCCCCCAGGAATAGAAACCCCGTGAAGAACTTGCTAGGGAGAAATGAAAATAACATTTGTCGCCTGCTTGGGGTGGACTTGCTGAGCACTCCCAGGGTATTAAACTGGTAAAGTCCTGCTGGGTAGGCCAGGAACTTCTTTCAACTCACTCTGAGGCACCCAGGGCACACCGCGGAGTTGAGGGATCTGAAGCCCATGTGGTCGGTGGGGGTGCCTTTGCTTACCTGGCTCATCTGGGAAGGCTCAGGCTTCTTTTTTTCTTAAAGAAATTGTCTTTGTTGTTAACCTGTTCAGTTATAAGTGTGTATAATTTAATTTTGAACAATGGCTGTTTCACAACTGGTAGGCAAAATTCCCAAAATCGAACATTGGCACTTGAAAACAGGTGGTCACCACTGCTGTAGACTGTTCCCTAGGCCTGGACCTGCCTTTTTAAAACTTCCCTTTGTCCTGAAATACTTGTTACAATTTACAAATACTTGTTACTTGTTACATGTTACAAATACTTGTTACATGTTGCAAAATCCAAACATCAGTAAGCATTCTTCCAGGATATCCTCTGAGCTGGGATCCTACCCATGGGAGAGGACAGGATCCAGGAGTGTCAGGCCCCAGGGACATCCTTGAATCCCTGGGGCCACCTGGTTAGCACAGGCCATCTAGATGCAGGGTGGGCTCACACTTGGTACAGTTGTATGCCCCCCTGAGATGGGCCTGGGACTGTCCCTTATGTCTTGAAGAACGTTACCCCCAGAGAAACCCCCTATAAGGATCTTGGCCCACAGTGCACAAGGAACCAGGACCCTTTTCCTAATCTCCCCCTACCCCCCACAGATGAGTACAACCTGCCCTCCCTACCCCCTCGCCGCAGCCCACAGGCCTTTGTGAGAACTGCCAATCAGTACCAATCAAGCAGAACGGGGCAGGGTGAACTTCAACCTCCGAAGTTCTCCCCAGCCCTGAAATTCTCAGATTCTTGATTTGCTACTGTGGGTCCAAGGGTGACCTAAGAATAACACAAGAAAATGGGATTTCATTAAACCACTTTTAAAGATTATTAAAACCAGCCACATGTTGTACATTATAGTGGCCTCTCTACATTTGTTATTTAAATGTCTCTATAACAGGTGGAGGTTGGAAATGCCATTCTAAGAAACAAACTGCCCAGGGACCCCGCCATGCCCACCATTGCACAAGTAGTTAAGCAAGCAGCAGAGTGGGAGTTATCCCAAACCAGGGATATTTCCACTCTAAATGGATGCTTGGGAGGGAAAAGGAAGGATCCCCAAGAATCGATGGGGGATACAGGAGTTGCCGTGGTTCATGAGTGGCATCGCCAAGAAGGAGCCTGCAGACTCCCAGCCTTACTTAGCTGTGGTGTAACCCGCAGGTAATAAGATTGGCCCTTAGTCACAGCCTCCATAACCTGAAGGTCAAGCTGAAGTTCCTGGACCCTGGAAGATCTCAAATTACTTTGGACTTGTCCCTCCTCCAGGAAGCCTTCCCAGCCATTCCCTCCCTCCCTAGGCTGAGGTAGAGCCCCTCTGCTCACACTGAGCTCCAGGCTTCCTCAACTGCTGAGTGTGCCCGGGGCCTGACCTTATCCTTAGGGCCTGGTGAAGTCCAGCACTGAGCCATTGGCTTCCTAAAAGCCAGCTGTGACAAAGTTGTGGTGGTATTGGACAAGCAACATCACATTAAGCCCTGGTCACTATGGCGCTTGGAGCTAGGGAAGGAGCCCAGGCTGTGTGACCAAAGGAAGGGCCAGAGGTGCCAGTTACCTGGTTCATAAAAGGGGCATTCTGGTACACACTGCCTGAGGCTGTGGCCCTGGCACGTGGCCTGGCCCACGAGGGCACTCCACCAACATTGTTCTCTAGCTAACCTTTTACCTCACTGGCAGGACTGCCTGGTATGCATGCAAAGGCCGTGCATGCCCTGCACAGGGGTCCAACTAAGAGGGCCCCACACCTAGCCATGTGCCCTGCTGGGGCCCCTGGCAGAAGGGGCCCTTTACTCTAACATGCACAAGGCCCCTGTGTACTATCAGCCACCAGGAACCAAAGTGGCTGGAGTGATTAGAAAGTCTCCACCCTGGAAGGCTGAGAGCTGGTGCATCTCTCGAAGGGGAGGGAAAGGAGAGACTGGTCACTGTTGCTGCTAAAATGGCCCAAGAGAAAACTAAGGCTGGATGTAAACTTGGCTTTTCCAAATTTCCAGGGCCAGCTGAGGGCGTGGTGGTGAGCCTTAGAACTTCTGGACCAGGTCACCTATTGTAGAGCCCGGTGCCACCAGGCCCACTTTAAGCACTTCCATGAGCCTCAGTTCCCCAGCGACTAGGCTCACCCTCTTAAGCCTACTGGTTCAACAAGTACTTGTTAGTCTGCTGTGCCCAGTGTTGTCCTAAGGTATGGTGAGGATTAAATGGCACACAGAAAAGACAGTAAATTCCAGCTATTTCTACAGGGCGGGCACCTTATGGAACTGCTTGATGACTGAGTAATGAGCTCCACCGGGGATTTGGTGGCTGCATTTTAGGAAAGGGCTGAGACTTTGACCCTGCATACCTTAAAGGGCCAGCTGGAACGTGTGAGGAGCTGCTAGACCCTTTCAGGGCCCATGGGTGGCCACTAATTGCAGATCCAGGTTTGTCAGGGGAAGCATGGGTGACCAAAGTCTATGCTTGGGCTCACCCCCAGGGGTGTCTGCTTCACCTGGACTTTACCCTGGCGGGCTCCGCCTCCCCTACAGGCACATGCTAGGGCCAAGGTGCTGGCAGTTTGCACCCTGGGGCCAGCCTCTGTAGGGAACAGGGGAAGGGGACGTTACCAGAACCTCTGCAGTGAGTCCTGGTCTCCTGTGAGCCACGGCAGCACACGGCGAATTACAGGAAAGGGAGAAAAATGAGACTGAGAAGAAGCTGAGCTTTGGGTCTGATCAGTGCTGCTCTGGGTGGCAAAGACAAAGCCCCCCTAGCTTGCAGCACCTTTTATTCAGTATATGGGGAAACAGATCTAACAAGTGCACTGCAGAGTTCAGTACTTCACATTGGGATAAACAAGGTGTAACAAAAGGCTGGGTGGGGGCAGTGGAAATCTAAGAACAATGAGGAACTATGCAGATGAAGATTTGGTTCCTCCCTGGCGTGTCTCCCGCAGGTGTGGTCTTTTCCTGGAGCATTACACCAGGGCTGGATCACAGGTCTCAGCTGTGACCCGAGGCCAAAATGCAATTATGTCTGGAGTGTCATAGCTGGCCTGTAGGCGGAGAGCTAGGCCTACTCAAATGATTTTTCCCTAGAATTATGTAGCATTGCTCCCGACAGCCTCTCTCTCCTGACATCCTCCCTGTCCCACAGTCCTGCAGCTGCGGTGTCACCACCATTGCCATGGCCTCCACGCAGCTCTTCCGTGCACTCGTGTCTGCGCAGTGGGTGTCAGAGGCGCTGCGGGCCCCACGGGCTGGGCAGCCCCTGAAGCTGCTAGATGCATCCTGGTACCTGGCCAAGCTAGGCCGTGATGCGCGACGTGAGTTTGAGGAGCGCCACATCCCAGGCGCCACCTTCTTTGACATCGACCACTGCAGTGACCGCATGTCGCCCTATGACCACATGCTGCCCAGTGCCGAGAACTTCGCGGAGTACGCGGGCCGCCTGGGCGTGAGTGCCGCCACGCACGTCGTGGTCTATGACGCCAGCGACCAGGGCCTCTACTCGGCGCCGCGTGTCTGGTGGATGTTCCGGGCCTTCGGCCACCGCACTGTGTCACTGCTTGACGGTGGCCTCCGCCACTGGCTGCGCCTGAATCTCCCGCTCAGCTCGGGCAAAAGCCGACCTGTGCCCACCGAATTCAGCGCCCGGCTGGACCCCACCTTCGTCAAGACCTATGAGGACATCAAGGACAACTTGGAGTCCCGCCGCTTCCAGGTGGTGGATGCCCGGGCCTCTGGCCGCTTCCGTGGCACCGACCCTGAGCCCCGAGACGGTACTGGGCTGGGGGGAGGCAGGGGAGGTCTCGGGGGACAGGGTGGGGTCTGAGCCTCAAGCACTGAGTTCCTGATGGGGAGATGGTACTGCCAGCTCCCCTCCTGGGCTTTGGGCAGTGACCACCCCAAGCACATCGGGAACCCAGGATGCCATTTCTAAGCGTGAAAACCCAAGCATCCCCCCCCCCCACTACTGTGCTTGTATGAGATCATTGCTGAATGATGGGGGACAGCCCTCAGTTTGGGAAAATCCCAAGGAGCAGGTCCCAAGCAGGCCTGGCCAGCAGAGCCTGAGTTGATGGAGGAGGAAGAGAAGCCTGAGCCAGGAAGGGGGTCTCAGGAGCATGGCTTGGAGAAGGGAAACAGGGGTTGCTGCCAGCAAGGTGGAGCTATCTACTTGTGCTGGGTTTCCCTGGAAGAAACTGGAAGCCTGGTGGAGTGTGGGTGGGGTCCCCTCAAAGCCGACTTCAGTGGACAGCTCCACCAGCCTCCCCTCCTTCCCTCTGAGCCTGCAGCTTCTGGATTGTGGCCTTAACCAGTCTCAGATCAAAAATATTTAGAAAAAAAATGTATGTCTATATTGAAGATGTACAAACCTTTTCCCTTGTCTTTATTCTCTAAATGATTCAGTATAACAACCTTGAACCTCAATCTTTGCCCACTGAGCTACAGCCTACCCCTGCCCTTTTTGAGACACATTGCTTAGGCTGAGCTCAAACTTGAAGTTTTCCTGCCTCAGCCTCCCAAAGTGCTGGGATCACAGATACCACCACACCCAGCTACTTACATACCATTTACATTGTATTAGATATTAAGAGTAGTCTAGAAATAATGGAGCCGAGGGAGAGCATGTGCTTAAATAGATGCAAAGGCATCATTTTATATCCATGGATTTTGTTATCCTGGGGGGTGGGGGTGGTCCTGGAACCAACTCCCATAGATAACAGGGACCAACTATGTTGTCATTGTAAGGAGGAGGAAGAGCCTAGGATGCCCAACTTGTCCAAGGTCGCAGGAAACAGCCCAGGGGAATTTGAGCCTGCACATTAACCACAGTGAGCAACGCTTAATTCTCCCACCTTGTCTCTCAGGCCTGCAAGGGCCCAAGGAACCAAGGTGGGGACTGTGTGCTTCCAGAGTGCCCAAGGACAGCCTATCCCAGCACTGTGTAGATGCCCTCAGGGCAGGGGAGGGTCCCCGCTCACAGTGGGATCCCCACAGGGTGGAGCAACATCAGGCAGCCCTGGCCCCAGACCTGGGTTTAGCACCCAGCACCAGGTTACATGGGCTGTGTGACTCCTGCCAGGTCACCCTACCTCTCTGACCCACAGTTTTGCATGTTTACAATGAGGGCAGTAACAGGGAGTGGAAAGGACAGGGGAGGGGCAGAGATAAGCACTTGGCTCTGTTTTCACACTGATAAGCTGCACTCAGAGGTGGGAAATGATAGCATTAATAATGCTTCTCTGGCCATGTCTCTTTCCATAGACCTTTAAGGACAGGTCCATCCATGCCACTTGCTTGCTCAGTCATGAAGGGAGCTAACGCCCCCTCCCCATAAGCCTGCTGTCAGGATGGACCAGGCTGTCAGGGGAAAAGTTGTGGCAGCTCTCGCCTGAGTCTCGGGTGCCCAACACTCCTGTCATCACTGTGCATGCTCCACAGCCCCAGGCCTGGCCAGGTGCACCTGCAGTTTGCTACCTGGGTCCAGCAGGGCAGGGAGCCCTGGTGGGGCTCCAGGTGCAGGGAAGCCCTGAACTTTACAGCTGCTGCCCGAGCTTGGGACTTGCTCCTCACCCCTGCTGTCTAGTGGGTACTCCAATGTGTGGCCCAAGCCCAGTTTCTGTGCCAGGTTGGTGAGGACACATGGCCCATGCCTGTCTCTCTGAAGATAGAGACCAGTGTGGATCCACAGCTCCCATAGGGGTTGCCATCCCACTGTGCAGGGAAACTGAGGCAGAACGTACCCTAGAGCCCTGCCCTAGGGTCCAGATGGCTCAGATTCAAATCACCGGCAGTGAGGGTTTATTTTGCTTCAATTCTCAGTCCTTCTGTGAAAATGGGACTATGAGTAACACCTGCCTAGTGAGGGGTGAACACAAAGTGCACTGGGGGCCATAGATAGGTAAAGTATGATCCCCTTCATTATAGTTCTCCTCCCTTGCTCTGGTCCTCTTCTCCGTGATCCAACCCAGTCTTTTAAGTATGACATCTGAGCCAGGTGTGGTGGTGCACACCTGTAATCCCTGCACTCAGAGAGGCTGAGGCAGGAGGGTTGCAAGTTCAAACCCAGCTTTGGTAGTTTAGCAAGACCTGATCTCAAAATAAAAAATAAAAAGGGCTGAGGGTGTTGCTCAATGATAGAGAACCCCTGGATTGGATCTCCAGTAGGAAGAAGGAAGGAAGGAAGGAAGGAAAAGAAAAATCTAATTTCCCCTTGTGGGTCAGACCAAATCCTAAAGTCTCACCCTAGCCCACTGAGACAGCCCTGGTCCTCTGCCTCCCACTGTCTGGGCTTCTGCCATGATGGCCTTTCACCACTCCAAGCACCGTGCAGTCCCTGCCCCTTCAGATCCCCAGTGCCGTGGATCGGATCCTCTCAGCCCCGACCCAGAACCCTGGCTGACCCCCGCCCTCCTCAGCCAGAGATGCCCAGCCCCTCCCCAGGCAGCGTGGCCGGTGGTCAGCAGCACAGGCTACAGAGGGGCTGGCTTCAATCCTCTGCCTCTTCCTAGCCGAGGCTTCTCTTAGTGCCCCATTCTCCATATTTATACAAAAGGGGGGAGCATTTCTTTACTGTGGAGTTTGGGGGACTCTTGCAGTTGTGCAATTATTGCTGTCCAGCCTGGCAGATTCAGACTCCTTGCCTGCAATTGCCACATGTCCTAGCTGGAGAGGGGTCAAATTTACTGCGCTCTCGCCAGGACGCACAGTCAGAACACCTGGTTCCTCATGTGGCTCTGGTGGTGTCTTCATTTTTAGCCCAGACTCCAGCCCGCAGTTTGCCAGATGCACCGGCCTCAGGTGCTTCCTGACCTCAGTGTCACTGGCAGTGACTGGAACCAGCCCTCACTAATGCCCGAGTTTCGTGGGTGTCAGGATGAATGAGGCACTGTGGACGGCAGGTTTGCTCGTGTGGGAGCTGTCTGTGCTGCAATGCCTCAGACACTGGGTGCCCTTCATGCTGCCCTTCTCCTGCTGTAGGCATCGAGCCCGGCCACATCCCTGGCACTGTGAACATCCCCTTCACAGAATTCCTGACGGAGGAGGGCCTGGAGAAGAGCCCCGAGGAGATCCACTGCCTGTTCCGGGAGAAGAAGGTGGACCTGTCCCAGCCCTTGGTGGCCACGTGTGGCTCCGGTGTCACAGCCTGCCACGTGGTGCTGGGGGCCTACCTCTGTGGCAAGCCCAACGTGCCCGTCTATGATGGCTCCTGGGTGGAGTGGTACATCCGTGCCCAGCCTGAGCACGTCATCTCCGAGGGCCGAGGGAAGACCCACTGAGGCTGGAGGGGACACAGGCCAGCTGGGCGCCTGGCCACCAGCAGCGCACAGCCTGTGGCTCTGACTCTGCTTTGTGTGCAAGTGCTTACTGTCACTCAGCTCAGCATTTGGGGTGACATCTGAGACACCAGGAATTCTGGTGACTCTGGGGCTCCCAGAGGAGGCAGGAGAACACCAGGAATTCTGGTGACTCTGGGGCTCCCAGAGGAGGCAGGAGAAAGACGACACGGGCACAGGAAGGGACATCAGACACAGAACTGCCCCTAACGGTGCTAAACTGGGGCCCCACTTTGCTTCCATTGTACCATTGAAGAAATAAAGCAGCCAAGTGTGAAACCCTTGTAGCTGTGGGGCTGCCTGGTTTTCCTAAGGAGTGAGGGTTCCCTCGAACCCCAGAAAGGTTTCTCTGAAGAGCCTCAGGTCTTGGGGATCCTGGGGATCCTACTTCCTGAGCAGTGCTGGGGCCTAGAACCCCCTATTCCTGTGACCAGAATGCTCCCTAGCAAACAGTCCTCCACCCGCCCCATAACCCTCATGGCCTCTCTGGCTTCTACATGAATTTTGCTGTGACTTGGCCCCTCCTTGCAGGTTACCTGTGTGTCCCATATGGAGAGAGAGATGGGCCCAGAACTTGTGGGAGGCTCCCCCAGCCCTGCCAGGATGTCCCAGGGAAGGGCTGAGTCTAGCCAGCCTGCAGGAGAATCTGGCCCAAACTCTGGGAGCTCATGCTTGCAGGCTAGGTGGGCCAGGAGGACACCAGGCTGCGCAGCTGTGCCGCAGTAGGGGCTCCAGGCTCTGCCTCTGTCTGTATCCTTTGTTCAGAGGTGGACACAGGTGTCTGCATCCCTGGTGCCACCTTTTTAGGGCATGGGCCACTTTTTCCCATCTTCCCAGATGCTATCTCGGTAGCAAAGGGGTGGCAGCATGTCTGCTGTTACTAGGAGAAACCTTAAAAGGGGCTTTACTTCTTCCTTCCAGCGGCTGGGGCCCAGTTCAGGTTCCTGACTGACTGGTTTCCTTTCACCTGACTCCTCTCCCTCTTCCATTGTCCTTTGATGCCACGTCAGTCCCCAAGCCCTCAGGGCCAGGGAGGAGGAGCCAGCAGCACAGAATCTTGGGTTTACCAGCCCTAGCTCTAAAGGAAGAGCCAACCCCTCTGAGCCTCAGTCTCCTCATCTGCAAAATGTGAGCGCGTCTGCTTCAGGAGAAGGAAAATCAGACAAGAACCTGGCCTAGAGCCCCACGCAGCCTCTCCTTTCCCTAGACTAGATTTTTCAGCCCCAGCAACCCCACAGGCTGGGGAGCTCGAGGTTGCGTGGGACAGGGCTCCTCCCCATTGTTGGTGCTTAGCATTTCTGGCCTGTGCCCACTAGATGTCAGTAGCGTTGCTCAAATATGACACCCGGAAGTGTTTCCAGTCGTGACCCAGTGTCCCCTGGGGAGTAAAACTCATCCCCAGTTGAGAGCCACTGGTCAAGGGGCAAATGGAAGTTGACCACAGCAGCGGGGAATAGTGTAGGCATGGAGACCCAATGTGGAGGGGGCTCCCTAACTCTGATCCTGAGCCCCTTCCCTTGAGGCTGGATGTAGCAGGTTAGGACCCCCCCTCCCTTCTGCAGTCTCAGATGAGCCTTGCTTTCCCTCCCTGGACCGTCTCTGTGCCTTCCAGGAGACACATTTGTCCACAAATACACTGAAGGTTCTCATCTGCCTTCCTTCCCCGGCCACGCCACAAGGGGCTGCTTTCTTATCTTTCAAATGGGCAAAATCATAATGTTTCTTCAGCAGTAGGAGGGCTAAATGAGATAATTCACAGAAACTGTCCAGCCTGGTGCTAAGCACAACATAAACAAGTATTATCATTATTTTTAAAGGATTTTACTAATCTGGCATGTTACATGCTTTCTGTATATCGGGCACTCGGAGGAAAGAACAATGAATACAAGAATTATACCCCTGCCTTCACAAAACTTCCAAACCAAGAGAAGCCAGTCCTGCCTATCACATTTCCAGAGAGAAGGAAGTACTGTGCAATGATGTATTTTTACAATAGACTGACTTCACAGAAGAGAACATGAGCTCTGAGAGGTTGCGCAATTTGCCTAAGGACACACAGCTGTTCTGGAGTTAGGATTCTCATGGTGGGAGTCGTTCTCATGAGTCTCACCTGTGAGGGTTTCCAGACTCGGATACACATGTGACAAGCCTGTGGAAGACAGCTAGGTGTTTCCCCAGCTCCACAGAGAGTCCTTGAGCAATGGGAGTTTGAGTTCAGCTCTTCCAAGAGCCTAGCCCAACCTCCAAAATGGAAACCAAAGCTGATCAGAGACGTCGCTCACTTTTCTCTCGAGTGATCCTGGACAGGTCTGGACAGGTTCAGAGGGGCAGGAGAGCTAGCTGTGCCATCCTAGAGTGCTTCGAGTTTCACTTTAACTTGGCAGCAGTTTCCCAGCAAGGACCCAAGGCCACCCCTGAGCTTTCCTGTGCTATCCACGTCAAGCCTGAGCTTCCAGAATAATAAAGCAGCCTCTGCAGGGGCCTGGCTGGGCCAGCACTCACCCCACCTCCTGTGTATTCCAGTCAGGAATTGCTACAAGATGCAGTGAGGATGGCGAAAGTCTTATCCACTTGGCAAATATTTGCTGAGGACCCCTCTGTGTGAGGGACAGTTGAAGTGCACTTCCCAACCTGCCCTAACCAGCTGCACCAGAGCTGTTCCACTCCCTGGACACTGCCACAGGGACCATGGGCCAGAGCTTAGCCCTGGGCTTCAGGATGCCTGCCTTCCAGAGCCTTCTAGCTGGGGTTCAGTCTTCTCATCTGAAAAATGGGAGCCAACTCGGTCCTGCCAAGAATAGGGTTGGTCTGCTGTCTGGTAGGTGAAGCTGAAGACCATGGAGGAGTCACTCCTACAGGAAGAGCCTGGACCATGGAAGCTCTATTACCGGAGCTTTATTATCTGTAATTTACAGAGAATGAGTCATTCAGGGGAAAATAAAATGTTGAGGCTAACTCAAAGCTGGATCACATTAACATGCTAACCTGAGAGGGGTGCAACTCCTCAGACTTTATTCTGGCTGTTTCAGGCTTTGCTGCACAGTGGTACCTAAAGGAGCTGCTTGTCCCTACACCCAATGGCCCCAACTTAGCAGCACCTGAGTCCTCGGTGCCCTGGCCCATCCTTGCTGGTGGCACTTCCCATTTTAGGTCTGTTCTCCACTGCCCTGTCCCTCAACACACCCCTCCATCTACCCCCAGCTGGCCCAGCCCTCTCTGGGGGCTGCCACCCATGCCAATGGCTCAAACCACTGCTGAGCCAGTCAGTGCCTTGAATCTGGGCCTGCTGCCTCCTAAGCTGAGAGTCCTGGAGCTGCTGCCTACTGGGCCCCAACCGTACTCTTCTTCCACCTGTCTTCTCCGTCTCAGCCTGCACAGCCACTACATGTAGGGAACAGGGAAAGGGGATGTTACCAGAACCCCTGCAGTGAGTCCTGGTCTCCTGTGAGCCACAACAGCACAAGGCAAATTAATGAATAAAGACAGAAAATGAGACTTGGAGAAGCTGAGCTTTGGTGCTGATCAGTGGTGCTCTGGGCAGCAAAGGCAAAGTCATCCCAAGCTTGGCAACTCTTTATTCAGTACATGCAGTGTAACACATGACTCAGAGGGCGGTAATAATCCTAGGTTAATGAGGAACTTATGCAGATGAAGATCCAAGGTCAATGAGGAATTTATGTTGATTAGGAATTTGTCCCTCCCCAGGTGAAACCTTTCTCTTACTACTTGGTTCTCAAGGAACCAATATGTCTTCAGCTGATGTAATCCTGCCCTGGAGTGTCACGGCATCCATTGAGGTCTTAGCTGTGACCAGAGGCAAAAATGGAGTTATGTCTTGACATGCCATCACTGGCCTGTAGGCAGGAAAACTAGGCCTAATCATAATTTAATTGTGTAATGATTTTTCCCAAAAATTATGTAGAATTGCTCCCAACAACTATGGTTGTCTGCACCCAGACCCAGCAGTGATTCTGCCTCCCTTACCCACAGCCCGTCGGCAGGAGGCCTGTGAATTCCTCCTGTTTCCCTCTCACCCTGGTCCAGGTCACTCATCCTCCCCATGCCCCAGACACAAGCAAACATGGCCTGCCTCACCAGGGAATTCCAGTGTCCACGCTCCCTGGCCCCAGAATGTGGGGCCACAGAGGAGGAAGCCAGCCCCAGAGATGCAGCCCTGCCCGTAGGAAGATGAGGACAGACAGACAGATGCAGTGAATGTGTGTGGTGAGGAGCACCTGGGAGGTGGAAACTCAGCCCAGAGGGAGCAGCAGGGCTGCTTCTGGGTCTGAGAGGGGCATCTGCACTGGCAGCAGTCCCTGCCATGAGCTCACTAGACCGAGCCCCACACAGCAGGCAGCAGAAACTCACACTAGTCCCCACGGCCCCCAGCCTCCTTGGCTGTGGATGTGTGCAGATGCCTCAGTTTCCTCATCTGTGAAGTGAGATGTGAGGTGCTCTGGGGATGGATTCACACGAAGTGCTCGGCACAGAGGCTGGAACGGTACCTGCTGAGAAGTCAAAGCCTCTGTCACTGCTCTCACCACCACTCTCTCTGCACCTGCCTCCCTCGCTGGGCTGTGAGCCCCTGCAGGGTGAAATAACTCACTCAGGTTCCTCTCCCTGGCACCTCGCAGTGACTGACATGGTCTGGGCCAATGAATGTGCGACGTGTGCCTGAATAAGCTCTTAGGGCTACAAAAGGCATTAGTGATCCCTCCTGAATACTGAGCACTTTCCATGAACCAAGAAGGATGCTAAGTGCTTTGCATCCACTTAATCCAACTGCCCAGAGAAAGAAGGAGTAGATAAATCAGGTGCCTCACCCAGGAAGAAAAGAGGGATTAGGGATGGGGATGGGATAACTACCAGGTTTCAATCCCCTGCCAGACAGGACTGACAAGGAAACCAGAGAAGAGGGAGAGCAGTTCTCTGGGGGAAGGGATGGTTCATAAGCCTCTTACAAACATAGTCACACACCCTCGTGCGTGTGCACACACAAGAACACACTACCCCACACCATTGCTCCCAAGTGAGAGTTAAAGCAACCAGGGCCTAAGTCACTTGCCTGGCTAGATGCACACTCTTGGATACATTTCTCCAGGACTCTTTCAGAAAAGATGCCCTCCCTCTCTGTAAACAAACAAACAAAAACGCAGTCACACTCAACAGAGAACAATGCAAGCGAGGAGACAGTCACTGGGTGGTAAAAACCAGGTGCATAACTAGTTGCAAGCATCAGCTGAACTGCAGAATTTCAAGCCCAGAACAGGCGGGCAGGGCCTCTGGG